ACCAAAGGCTTTTCACCTCACACCGTTTGACACGAGACACCTCTTGCTACCTTTCGTGCATGTTGATTCACTTACACGACTACCGTAGAACGACCCAAGGCGCTTTTACGAATTCCACCGCTGCCATTCCATCTACCGCATTTCACAAGTGGCACCTCTTGCAAGCTTCAGTTGAAGTCGATTTCTCTCCAGCGAATGCCGTACAATGACCCCAGGCGCTTCCACGACTTCCACCAAAGTCATTTCACCAAACACTATTTCACAAATGACACCTCGTGCCAGCGTCCATGGAAGTCGATTCCACTTTCACCACGTCCGTAGAACGACTCCAGGCGCTTCTACGACTTCCACCGATGGCATTTAATCGAATACTCTTACCTCGTACCAACTTCCTGGAAGTCGATTTCACTTTCACGACTTCTTTACAATGACCCCAGGCGCTTCCACGACTTGAACCATCGGTATTTCATCCAACACTGTTTGCAAAATGTCACCTTGTCCCAGCTTTCGTTATCGATTTCGCTTCGACCATCTCCGTAGACCAACCCCAGCCGCTTCCTCGACTTCCACCAAAAGGCATTTCACCTCACATTATTTGACAAGTGGAACCTCTCGCCAGCTTCCGTGCGAGCGATTTCACTTCCACAACTTCCGTAGAACGACCCAGGCGCTTCCACGACTTCGACCACAGGCATTTCATACAGCACCATAGGGTAAATGACATCTCGGTCCAGCTTCCGTGGTCTATTTCGCTTGCACGACTTCCGTAGAACAACCCCAGGGGCTTCCACGACTTCCACCAAAGGTATTTTATTCAACACTATTTGACAAATGCCACGTTGTGCCAGCTTCCGTGGCAGTCGATCTCACTTTTACGACGTCCGTACGAAAACCCCAGGCGCTCCCACGACGTCTACCAAAGGCTTTTTACCTCACACTTTTCGACGAATCAAACCTCTTGCCAGCTTCCGTGCAAGTCGATTTCACTTCCAAGACTTCAGCAGAACGACCCCAGGTGCTTCCACGACATGCACCAAAGGTATTTCGTATGGCACCATAGGACAAATGACACATCGTGCCAGCTTCCGTGGAAGCTGATTTCACTCCAAGGACTTCCGTAGAATGACCCCAGGCGCTTCACGACTTCCACCATAGGAATTTCATCCAACACTATTTGACAAATGATACCTCGTCCGACCTTCCGTCCAAGATTATTTCACTTTCACGTCTTCCGTAGAACGACGCCTGGCGCTTCCACGACTTACACCAAAGGCATTTCATCCAACACTGTTTCACAAATGACACCTCGTATCAGCTTCCGCGGAAGTCGTCGTCACTTCCATGACATAGGTAAAACCACCCCAGGCGCTTCCATGATTTCGGCCAAAGGCATTTAACCTACCGCAATTTGACAATTGACATCTCGTACCAGCTTCCGTGGAAAGCGATTTCACTTCTATGACTGCCGTCGATGGATCCCAGGCGTTTCCACGACTTACACCAACGGAATTCCACCTGACACTATTTGAAAATGACACCTCGTGCCAGCTTCCGTGAAAGTCTATTTCACTTCAAAGAAATCCGTAGAACGACCCCAGGTCCTCCCAAGACTTCCACCGAACGCATTTCATCCAACACTATTTGACTAATGACACCTCGTCCCAGCTTCCGTAAAGGTTGATTTCACTTTCACGTCTTCAGTAGAACGACCCCAGGCGCTTCCACAACTTGCACCAAAGGCATTTCATCCAACACTGTTTCACAAATGACACCTCGTATCAGCTTCCCCGGAAGTCGTCGTCACTTCCACGACATAGGTAAAACCACCCCAGGCGCTTCCATGATCTCGGCCAAAGGCATTTAACCTGCCGCAATTTGACAATTGACATCTCGTACCAGCTTCCGTGGAAAGCGATTTCACTTCTATGACTGCCGTCGATGGATCCCAGGCGCTTCCACGACTTACACCAACGGAATTCCACCTGACACTATTTGAAAATGACACCACTTGCGAGCTTCCGTGCAAGTTAATGTCACTGGCACGACTTCCGGAGAATGCCCCCAGGCGCTTCCACGACTTCCACCGAAGGTATTTCACCACACACTGGTTGACGAATGACACCTCGTGTCAGCTTCCGTGGAAGTCGATTTCACTCCCACGTCTTCCGTAGAACGACCCCAGGCGCTTCCACGACTTACACAAAAGGCATTTCATCCAACACTGGTTCACAAATGACACCTCGTCCGAGCTCTCGCGGAAGTCGATTTCACTACCACGACTTCCGTAGAACAACCCCAGGCGCTTCCACGATCTCGACCAAAGCCATTTCACCTGCCGCTGTTTGACAAAATGACATCTGAAATGACATCTCGTGCCTGCTTCCGTGGAAGTCGATTTCACGTCGATGACTGCCGTAGAATGATCCCATGTGCTTCCACGACTTCTACCAAAGGCATTTCACCCGACACTTTTTGAAAAATAACATCACTTGCGAGCTTCCTTGAGTTGATTTCACTCGCACAACTTCCGTAGAATGACCCCGGGCGCTTCCACGACTTGTACTGGAAGCGTTTCATTCAACACTGGTTGATGAAGTAAGCCCCAGGCCAGATTTCGTGGAACACGATCTCACTTCGACGACTTCGTTAGAATGAGTCCAGGCGCTTCCACGGCTTCCACCAAAGGCATTTAACCTCACACTTTTTACAAATGACATCCCGTGCCAGCTTCCGTGAAAGTCGACATCACTTCAGCGCCATCCGTGGGACAACCCCAGCCATTTCCACGACATGCACCAAAGGCATTTCATCCAACACTCGTTGACAAATGTCGCCTCGTGACAGCTTCCGTGGAAGTAGATTTCACTCCCACGTGTTCCTTAAAAGGACCCCAGGCGCTTCCACGATTTACACCAAAGACATTTCATCTACCGCTTTTTGACAAATGATATCTCGTACCAGCTTCCGTGAAAGTCGATTTCACTTGTTCAACCTCTGTAGAATGACTCAAAGCGGCATTTCACCTCACACAGTATGACAAAGTACATTTCGTGCGAGTTCCTTGGAAATCGATTTCACTTCAACGTCTTCCGTAGAATGAGCCCAGGCGCTTCCACGACTTACCCCAAAGGCATTTCATCCAACACTGTTCGACAAATTACACCTCGTTCCAGCTCTCGTGGAAATTGATTTCAATTCAGCGCCATTCGTAGAACCACCATCCATAAGAGCTTGCAAGACTTTCACCAAAGGCATTTCATCCAACATTGTTTCATAAGTGACACATTGTCCCAGCTTCCGTGGAAGACGATTTCACTTCCACGAACCGCTCTAGAACAATCCGAGGAGCTTCTACCACGTCCACCAAAGGCATTTCACCTATTACCTTTTCGCAAGTGACACTTCTGGCCAGCTTCCGTAGAGGTTGATTTCATTCCCACGACTTCCATAGGATGACCCCAAGCGCTCCTGCGACTTCCAAAGGCATTTCACTCCCAAGAATAGTTTGTGAGATACCGCAAGGACGCGGGTCTTGGCACGAATCGGCTACATCGCGCAGGCCGGGGTCTTGGCACCGGGGTGAGGGAAAAAATATGGCTTCCAAGGGATTTCATTGATTATCGCACAGGTATCGTTCACTTCGCACAGGGGTGTGCGGAGACCCCGATACCTTCGGCGAGGTTGGGCGATACCGTGGTATCCAGCTTTTGTCACGGGCCACCACTGTACCAGGGTGCATAGCTTGCATCAGGGGCTCCACTGCTGTACTTTGGCCTCGTATCGTTGCTCATGTGCAAGTGATGTTGTTCAACATTGTCATTGTTGTCGGAATCGGCAAACGGTTTCTACTCAATCAACCAAGAACAACAAAGCACACCAGACCAAACGACCCCAGCCAACTACGGTACTACGAAAAATACAGACTCCGCGCTTGCACCCTCTGATATCGTAGCCAACGTGTTGCTTGTTTGTGGTGCGTGTGAGAGCACAGACCTCTGTGTTGGGAAATTTCAAGGTAACTCGCCGCCTCGCCGCCTCGGATTTGTTTTTCGCCGCATTTTGCTTCGCCGCATGTGTTTTGCGTGTTTGGGGTGCTGGTGTGCTGGTGTGTTGTGTTTGTCTTTGACCGTTATGTTGTGGTCCTGATGCTGCAATACCTGCACACGCACACGAAGTGCTGGTGTATGTCTGCTGTGATTTGTTCAGGATCGCACACATCGGAGTCTTGGCACGGGGGTGCGCGTTCATAACCCCCCACACGTCGCTTTGTACTTATTCAGAATCGCACGGATCGGAGTCATCGCACGGGGGGGTGCGTTATATTTTCACGACCAGACATTTAGTTCATGAACCGCACAGGTATCGGGCACATGGCACGTATCGGCGTCTTGGCACCCCTGTGCGATAGAAAAACCGATAATGAAAACATTTAAAACGACGATCGCACAGTGTGCCAAGACCCGCATCGTTACGGTACTACCATATTGCGAAATATCCTCTGTGGATATCAGGCTCAAAAAGACACATGAAGACAAACTGTTTTGATGGGAAGGTGCGGAAGCATCTTGCCAAGTCCGGAATCCGAAAGCTCACATCACCTACAACCGCATACACTACTATCGCTCAAAACAACACCGGCCCACGCACATTCTTCTCGGGAAACTCTCACAAGTAGAGAAATGATGCCAAACACGAGACCTACAGTCTGCTTTACTCGACAAACATTACCCCGTTCAAAACAACTGTCATTATGTACCTCGCGTTCCCAAACTCGCAAACAAACCGTAGCTGCCCCAGGCTGCAAGGTTGATCACCACCACATCTATCACCGTGCAGATATCGGTGCGCTTGCTACGCAATAGAACAACGAAGCACGATAAATTTCACTAGAAACGGCGCAACAATCGAGTAACGGCATGCCCATCACCCATCCTCGCGCACCCTTCGTGTCGGTTCAGGCGTTTCCGACACGGAGACCTGTCGCATCATCATCACCGATTTCACGATGCAGGAGACCTCAAAAACACAGGGGTTTCGTTCGATGTTGCACGCGCCCTCAACCCGGGAAAGCTCAAGAACGCCTTGTCTTCCTCCATAACTCTGTTCCTCCTGGATGCGTAGCAGATGCCAACCACCTCGGCTGAAATAGCGAGAAACATCAACACGTGGCCTGCCACAAGCACTCCAGCGTAAGCCTGCTGACTCTGACTGCGTTCGTGGGATACATCCACCTTGAGCAACAACAGGTCGAACATGCTCAGGAACACAACGACTTGACCCCCACGCGAAAGCCACATGTCGAACTCAGATGTGTATGGGGACAAAATATCGAAAACCGCGAAGAAAAAGACGGCAATCAAAATGGTGATCGCAATTTGAGCCGCATCATTAGGGTATATGAACACGACGACGCCCGTGAGCATGATACGGCGTCCGCACTCGATTACCTCGTAATAGAAGCGCTCGGGTTTGTACGCCTCCCACAGGCTGGCAATCGGCTGAGCTCCCGCCTTGTCTGCACTGGCATTGGCCAAAATATCACGATGTTGAAACAACAGAATGGCGTACAGGAGGGGGATGCCCACTGGGTACACAACGACCATGACGCCTGCATACACTTGAAGAGCCAGGTGTTTGGAAGTCGTGCACAAAATCCTGTAGTCGGCCCGGAGGTAGTTGTTGCCGTCGTCAAGGGAGTCACAAGCGAACGTTTGGAACACCATTGATGATACCGAGGAGTACACCAAAAACGTCACGAAGAGCAAAACCGTTACGTGCTTGTGACGTATAATTTCTATAATAGCGTGGCCGGCCGTGGCGTTCCTACGTAACGCGACCAAGTACGTCGAAGCCAGCATCCCAATCGCAAGCAAAGGCGCGATTGTACTGACAAGGAGCCGATCGTGGAAGTCGATGCCAGACCACAAGCACCCGGCGGAAATCATGGAACCAAGGTCGACGTTGATGACGTCGATAGCGCTCAGAAAGTCCTGGTACACGCGCGGGTAGGTGACGTTGGCTGCGGCTGCGAACTGCCCGGGAAACCACGCAGGGCAACATCGGACCACACGCAATGGGAGGGTTTGACATGAGACAGTACTAGTTGTCTGGCAATACTCTTTTTGATTCCCTGCACCACCTCACTCGAAAAGAGGCCCCGACGAGAAGCTCCGAACAAAACACAGCTCACCACTATTCCGCATAAGCATACCCCATGAGAGCTAAAACAGCGTTTGCGGGTGAGAGTGTGTCTGCCTGACACACTCGTATGCAGCGAAACGTTCAAACCCTAGCGCAGTCACGCGTACCTGTGTCAAAATCTGCCACACGACGATGATGATCTTGAAGGACTGAAGGGGTATGGCTTGAAATGTCTTGCGATGGAAGCAGCCAATGTTTCTCTCTTCGAATTCCGTCGACAACAAATATCGGAACGTTGCCACAGTTGCACAGACCGCAATAAGCGCGGCGAATACCGTGGCGACCATGAGTCCCTGGCGCCTTGACCTTGAGCATCGCGTACAAGTGTGAGCGAGCGATGGAGAGTAGCCGTCTCCGCACACAGCGCAATCTGCAGCAACGAAATGTAAGGACATGCGGGAAACGGACATTTGACTGCTTTCGCAGAGGGGGGGGGGGGCTGCTTTGCACTGGGCACCGTCTACACCCTATTCACACATCACAGTGCGATATTATGGCCCATTCAAGCCGGTCGCCCGGTTGGTCTAGTGAGAAACCTCCCAACCCTACTGCACGATGTGGGTTCAATTCTCTCTCTGCAGGTTTTTTCGATTCTCCCTGCAGTTTTGAGGTGAAGAATATATAATTTTTGTGAGTGTACACAATTCCATGGTTGACGAGAGAAACGGATGACTGAAACCTTCTCGCGATAACAACCAAGGCAAAAGTACCGCAGGATACAAGGTGACGCAACAAACAAATCAAACAATAAGAAGCTCTTGTGTGACCTTCCTCCTGCGTGACCTGGCTGATTCGTCAGAAATGTGCACCGTAAGGTGAGCATAGCTGGCACAACAGCAGATGGGGGCGAACAAACACACACTTACATGGTCCCATGTATCCGTGGTCACAGAAGAGCTCCGCCCCCGTTTCTCCGCCGTTGCAAGCATCCGCATTGAAGCACGGTAGAATGTTGTCGCTTTGGTTCGTTGCACGCCAGTAGCCTGGTGAGATGCTAAGCGTTTCAAAGGTGACCCCAGATACGTCGGCCGTAGTGTGCTCCAATGGCGTCGAACATGTCGGCAGAACGTCAGCGGTTTCGATGGTGCAGTTGTGGCACTCCTCCCAATCAGGACAATCAAGGCACCCCGCCTCATAGCGCGAAATACTAGTTCCCTCGTTCTGTGATTGAAAGGCACGCCACGCCAACAAATAAAAACGAGGGTCTGTAAGTCGTTGTTGTGCTGCCTACTGTTAGACGTACACCGACTTGTTTTCATCGGAGGGAGCTTCCAACACCGTGGCTTTCAAAAAATATTCAAAGTTGAGGTGTTCGCAACGGAGGGCAAGCTTGTCGGTAGAAGCGGTTAAAGAGCCGGGAAGAGATTTAGACTATTTATTAATACCGCTCGGACGCGATGTGCGACAAGGCGAGAGGCAATAGGGCTTACACGCTTGTACACATCTTCCCGCTTTAGCCTTTGTGAGACACAGGGTACCGGAATATTCCCATCTACCTCATGGATGTCTTGAAGGAAGAAGCCGGCTGCGCAATACAATGCATTCTCTTCGAACGACGAACGGCCAATGGTTGCAGATCCGACCACAGCTATCGCAAAACCACGAGATGAAGCCGAGTTGGAGAGAAAGGAACACCCGCTAACATTCGCTGTGCCTCCGATGAGGCTCAAAGCACCGCCCGCATCTGGCAGCGCGAAATGGTACGAAAAACAGTGGTGGGTGGGATACGTGCGAGGCGCAGTTACGCTGGGCCTCAAACGCGACGGCGGCGCAAGTGGAAGCATTTGGAGGTCAAGACGAAAAGAACTTGCTCGAATGCGCCTGTAGTTCTTCAACACAAGACACTACGAGAGATTCAACGACAATACATATGCGTCATAACACTTTTTGCTTGTCCTGTGGCCATCCGTAGCAGTCTGGGTGCTCACCTGCTGAGTTACCCTTGAAGAGCGAGGAGGTAAACTGTTCCGACCCGTCGAAGGTTTCCACAGCACCACCGTTCTTGCTCGCCGTGTTGCCCAGGAAGCTACACCTCGAAAACGTTCCAGTGGCTTCAGCTCTGGAAGCCGCCACTGCACCGCCGTTGGTTGCCGAGTTGGATTCGTATGTGATGTCTTCGAAGTTATAACGATCCTCAATGTCGGATATATATGTAGCACCCCCGTCCCCTGCGGCGGTGTTCCCAACGAATGCACCACCGGACATGTGGACGACTGGAATAAGATAATCTTGCGCTTGCACGAGAATCACCGATAGAGCGCCGCCGTCTCCGCCAGCAATGTTGTTGCTAAAGATTGTGTTCCCATCGCACCACAGGCTTCCTGCAGAATCCATATTGATCGCGCCCCCGTCGTCTGAAGCGGAGTTGTTGCTGAAGAACGTCATCTCACCATGCCAGGACAATATCGAGTCGCCTGCGCGAATCGCACCTCCGGCAAAACTCGCCGAGATATTGCTAAAGTGAGTCCCGTTTCCATCCCAGGACAGATTCGTACGGGTCACATACATTGCACCTCCTTCTGAGCTTGAAGAAGAGCTGAATTGTGTCCCGTCACCAATCCAGGACATGTTTGAGTCATACGCGCGGATCGAACCTCCTTGCCCTCCGTAATTGTTTGTGAACTCTGTGTCGTCACCATCCCAGTACACTGTTGAAAGGTGTGTGTAGATTGCACCTCCGTCCGAATACGCCAAGTTGAAGCTAAACTTCGTGCCGTCACCATCCCAGTACACTGTTGAACCAGGCGCAGCGTGGATAACACCTCCTTGCGAATCCGCGGAGTTGTGGCTAAACTCTGTGGCGTCGCCATCCCAGGATACGGTCGAAGCATCTGCGTAGATCGCGCCTCCGTCGTTGGCCGAATTGGAGGTAAGATATGTGCCGTCGCCATTCCACGACACGGTCGAATCATACGCGTAGACCGCACCGCCGAGGGTGCCCGAGTTGTAGCTTAAATGGGTGCCGTCACCGTCCCAAGACACGGTCGATCCGTGCGTGTAGATCGCACCTCCATTACGATCAGCAACGTTGTCGGAAAAGACGTTACTCTCGCTACTTTCCCAGGAAATGTCAGACCAAAGGACATAGATTGCACCTCCATCCCTGGACGCGGAGTTGGTGGTAAGCGTGGCATCCCCACTACCGTCGAAAACCAACGTTGAATATGCCGCGAAAATCGCACCTCCGTGACCACCATCATCGGTCGTGTCATCCGTAGCAACGTTCCCCGTGAAAGCTGTGGCGCCGCTAAACCTAACACTGGATTCACCAACAAACATCGCCCCACCGGATGAAGCGTTACCATTGGCGAACGTCATATCCGTGCAGTGCATCGAAGATCCCCCTTCCACGACGAATAGCTGCGTCGTGTGGTCGCCATTCGCGGTTGCACCAGATCCGTCCCCAGTGATGTTGAGCGATGTGCCATTTGTGACACGGATTGTTTCTGTAACGATCACTTCTCCAACCCACTGCACGGCGAAATCGCCGTCCGAACATCGAAGCAAGGTTGCTAGAGTAACCGCGTCTTCGCTACTAGCAACGGTCCAGAGGCTTGTATCAAGGCTGCAAGGTAGAGTTGCTTGGGCCGTAGCGACTGCAACCAAGAACCCCACGTTCAAAGCCTGGAAGAGGCCCATCTAATGAGTGAAAGACGTGGGCGAGGTGCACGAACATGGGGTTGTGTGGAAATAGTAAACGGCGAACGGTCAAGGGTTAGGCATGGTTGATACCAACGACACCGCTCTGTTTAGAGAACTGCCAAACAACAAGGCGAACGGAAGGTGGTCCACGGCCGCCCCAGAACCCCAAACATAACGGCGGTCAAACCTGATCGAACCCCAAACAAACCCGAGGAGTGTGAACAACCGAGGTGTGAGGCTAGTTTCTTCTACAGACCACTGCTGCGTGAAATTGCGTATTGCGTGAGTGTATGCTTCTGCAATCGATATACATACACCATTCCTCTTCAACTCTCTTTTCGGAATAAGAACCGTGATTGAATATATTCACGAACGCTGCAATGCTTAGGCGAATATGGTCTTGAGCGATGATAAAAACGCACACAGCTCCGCGTTCGTGATCTCCTAAACATGTGAAGGAACAATACATCGAACCATGGGCACCATTGGGATCGACCCCGTGAGTTGAATGGTTGGCCTGGCTAGTAGTGCAAGCATGCCTGACTGGAAGTGAATTGAACCGGTGCGCTTTGCACCATCCGTACAATAACCTCGGGTTGTCACCGAAAGTCAGTTGTAGACTCATCTTTTCAATGGGAGGAAGAGGTCTACTTCTTCGATCGAGCTGTGTGGCATACTCTTGGAAACCTGAAGGGCCTCGAGTGGCGTCGCTGGCGGGAGAGATCAGGGCAGCCATTCAAGCAAGCTCTGCACCGGCGTGTCGAAAGGGTTCTTGCTTCTAAACGCAACGCAAGCAACACCGGCCGGCGCCCAAGCCTTCAAGGGCAGCAGGCACAGGAAACGCAACAACCAGCCGCGCCAACGACGACATTTGGTAGAGCAACAACCAGAAGTACATTCGGAGGAAGCCGAGGAGGTTGAAGCAGAAGCCTCGCACGTACACAGAGATGTGAGGCGTACCGGCGTCGATGGTGATTGTTGAATCGATCATGATTCTGTCAGGGTGTCGACCCAATCGACGCCATATGCCTGGTGTGCCTGGATGTTGATGCCAACTACAACAGAAGGTGTTGATTCGAATGAAAGAGAGTGAAACTGCTTCCTATGCCCCCCATTTCGACGGCGTTGAGAGCATCCAAATAAAGAAAAACGGTTGGGAAATCCCCTTGAACGACGCCAAAACGACCGTCGACATCATTTGTTTGCTACCAATGGGTACTGGCAAAGAATTGAGACGCACCAGTCAGCCGAGACAATCTGCGGCGTCCTTGGCGAGAATGCCAACCTGTGCCAGGAAATAGAGCAACGCTGTTCTCGCCTACAGAGCACCGATGAGGGCGTACCAGACGTTTATGTCCGTTGCATAACCCCATGCCAAAGCCAGATGATACGGACCTGCAATCGTGATGCACGCCGGACGAAGACGGCTAGGGATCGTTTGCGCAAATGAAGGTGGCCCACGGGCTGATCGTGCACAACTCCCAACACGCGCACACGTTGCACATGCACAAAGACTAGCACACGGACACAGTTGGACAGAGAGTTGGCCATGCGCAACAACTGAAACACACATGAGCAGATGAACAACGAGGTGGCGATAGTGCTTTCGATCAAGGAAGATTGTTGAGACAGTGCGCCCCCCTCCGTGAGCACGAGAATATCGAGCTCTGTGACAAGATCAGTCACAATCAGCAACGGATGTGCCGCAAGACTGCCGTGGCGGCTGCAAACCTTAGTTTTGCGACAAGCAAAATGCACTGGACATGGCTAGTGTTATTGCTGATGGTGTTCGTGTTGGCCCGGGGCACGGATTTGCTACCCCCCAGGGCACGCGTCAGCACGTCAGGTATCGAATGCACAGATATCATCATCCATGGGTGTTAGGCTTGGTGGTGGCGTCAGTCAGGCGGGAAAATCGCTAAATCCTCTGCTAGACACGGCGGGGTTGCGGACGCTAGATAGAATTCCGAGAGGGTTACGACGTACAACGGCAAACCGTTCCCAAGAACGATTACTACGCGCGTGACCGTGACCTCATGAAACATGTTAACGATGTACATAGTAGTGTTGGGGTATTTGCAGTGCAAGACCGACTCTATTCTGCTGCATGTGTTTGATACAGTATTGTGAAGGCGTGTTCCAAGTCTGTAACCGTCTGGTCAAGACACTTGGGCGTCTGTGTGTGGATAGTAAATCACTCCGTGTTTTTCTACCCAAACCTCTTGTCACACAAGCAAACCAGCGGGCTACAGCGGTCAGGCCACGCTGGTACGCCTGTTAGGTTATGAGCCTCGCACGCTACCTCTGCGACACAACGCTGGTACGCCTGTTACTACATAGTTCACTTTCGAACCACTCTCCGTTAGGTAGATTTGTCGCGAGCTGGCGTAGTGGTGGAAGTTGCCACATGGACAAGCTTGCAACATTTCGTCCATCAACATATATATGCATAACAACGTGAAACCAGAGCACACGTGGCACTATTGTGGAAAGGTGGTGCTATTTTGATGGCATTCTTCAGCCATCGGTCGGCCTACGAGTTTCCTCAATTATCGAGAAATATCACAGCACATATCTTCCCGTCACTTGTGGCAGATACTCTTCTAAATCGACATGTAAATCGTCGAGGTTTGTTCCGATCTTGGTATCGTTGGTCGCGACAACCCGCGTGCGCAACATACACAGATCAACAAGACTCTGGTCTAGCCAACGAGAGCAAGATATTTTTTGTCAATCACGACTAATGCGCCGATGACACCCCGGCTTGCCCTCCCTGCGAAGTTGCTTTGTTTGCTGTGTCACCTCTCCAGCACTGGTCCAAGTCGTCATGCTGTATGCTGTTGCTGCTGTCCTCTATGTTGTGGCGTTCTGGTCTACCACATGTAGGTATGGATACGTTGAAGTATTTGTGGCACAAGAACGACTCCTGCTGTGGACTACATGTTCTGGTCGCAACGGGTGATATTGTGATCCATCCACCACATTCATGTATTTAGCTTTTGAACGATGCTTCCAAGCGCTGACATAAGAATCTAGCACATGAAGGCGCTGCGGCTTTGTCGCCAAGTCAAGTAATGAGTAGATGGCACGCTGCAAACGTATTAGCTATTACTAGCTATTACACATCGTCACAAGATCACGCCCAATGAATGGGCGGCAAATTCCAACGGCTTTGTTCGGAAGAGATCAGAAGGGTTGGGCGGGGTTTCATGTAAATGCGAAACGATGTCAGCAGCGAAAGAATGGGACCGCATCCAAACCCAAACCACCTTGCTTGTCAGGCCATGCGTGGAACTTCTCTGAGGTTGCAGCATGCGTCCTGCCTCGCAAGTTCGTCGGCCGCTCACCAGCACTGGCTAGAGAACGGAGACTGCACCAACGAAAGTTCACAAAGTTCCACACGGTCGGAGGGTCTCCGCGCGGTTCTCTCTCACACAGCTCACCGTCGTCCGCTCGATTTACAGCACGGTGGAGCTGGAACCTCTCGTTCTTGAGTGCACTGGATGCTGCTGTTGACTGCCCTGGGTGGGTGCCAGCCGTGGATGGGTGGCCCCGTAGCTATGCACGCTTGCTGCCGGCGCCGCCACGAAAGTCGCGCTTCAGTTTATCAAGCGCCGCACCACTGGAAAGAACGGAGCAACAAATGTGAGTTCAGAATTTGAAGAATGGTGGTCTCCATCTCGGAACACGAATCTCGGGGTCTTCTTTTGTGGCGTCTGGACGATCGCCGACAAGTTGTACGACCACGGCTCTCGGGCGGCACAGCAGTACCTTCAAGGCGACCTGTTTGATCAATTTCCGTTAAAGGCTGTAGGGTTCAAACCTGTCAGCGCAACGTCAGCACCGCGGCACAAATTGAGAGCTCTCGTGAGCCTTGGTTACACATTGATAGTAACTCTTTAGGACTAATCGATGTTGAACGTAGCAAGGCTAGGTTCTTCACGCGAGCGAGGCTAGGTTGCTCAACCCACATCTACCCTAACCCTAACCCTCACCCACGGCCAAAGCACGGCCTAGCGGCCGCGAACTGGCCGGCACGCGGCGATGCGGAACGGGGAGAGGGCGCTGGAGAGGAATTGGCCCCCAGAATCAACGCCGAACAACGCCCGACCAATCACAGAACGCGTTAGTCCTAAAGATCTACTACCAATGTGTAAACACTATTATACAACACTACTCGCTCTCGTGTTGGTGCGGCGTAACTTCGCTGGCCCCACACCCGCAAACAGGCATATGTAACTACACCGTTCGTTCCTTGGCTATCTGGCTGTTACCCGAGAGTACTCATCGTCGTTCTTGATGTCCCGTAAACTGAATGGTGTTCATTCTCTAGAGGATTTCTGTGGCACGTGACACGGACCCCCAGCATTCCCCGATCACACACGTCGAGGATGGGTGCAAGATGGGGTTTGCCTGGTCGGAGAAGAACGCTACTCTCATCATCTTAGCGGTGCCAGGATTGCTTCTTCAGATCCACCTTTGCTCTGAACCGGCGACCATCTTGACACCAAAATATTTCCGTGAGATCTTTTGTTTATCGTTTCCGCTCCCCTCTGTGGAGAATGGGAGACGCTACATATGACTGAGGTGAAAATTCTTTGGCGTATCACATTGTTCTGGTTCTGGACGTCGCCGGCTTTAAACCTACCTGCCGGGTATTTGCTGAGCGCATCGCCGACTTCGTACAGGAGGAAGGCGGAATGCCGCACAGAGGATGCATGCTGTCCTTTGCTTTCCTACCACCAGATCGTCGTATTCGCGAGAGCGAGGTGCCATTGTTCTACCTTGGAAAACACGAGCCTCAACATCTTTGTTGAACGTCTGTAATAATCCAGCGGAGTACTGTAACTACTTTCAGGACACCTGGTCAACTACACACAGGCGCACACTCATTGGTGCTGTCAATAGTGTTGTCCTCGTATTAAAGCCCGGTCCTGACTTCCACACCGTACCCGCAAACTCTAGACTGATCCCAACCAACTACAGATATTTACGAGCCCGTGCGGCTGATGCTGACCCATATCACAATCTTCTTAAATTTACAGACTGTATCATGGCGCCGCAAGACACTCATATCAAGCTCGGCGGCACACGCTGACAGAAACCAACCACGAGTTTAATCTCCGAACTCAAACAATGACAAGAACTGCACTCAGGGCAAGTTCATCCATCATATTCTCTGCTAATCCTCCGGACACCATTTGACGTAGTACATAATGCAGAGGGCCGGCCCATTTATTGACCACACATGCCTCTCCCCATCACTGCAAACAAGGACAGTCCACTCTGGACGAAATCAAAACAAAATCACGTGTCCCCCCACACCCGGAAGTGTCTAAACTCCTTATCCCTGCCCGCCGGAGGCAGAAAACGTCGGCCTCTCCCCTCGTAGTCTTCCATCACCACATCAAGGAGGTGGGGTACCTACCAACGTAGACGGAGACAAAGACAAGGGGGGTGGAAATTATCACGACAGTACTCAACATTGATGGCCGCAGTGTCACCTGGTAAATCTATGATAGCGATATTTGCGTGTGTAGCCGGGCGCGGGGCAGTTCTGAGTGATGCTTCGTTCGTAGGCATCTCAGCAAAGAAAAACACAACATAACAAGGCGTGCAGAATAACGTCCCTCTAAATTCACCGGCAACAGAGTCGCCGGTCCGTTCGTTGGCGAGGCCTATGGTCTTAAACATCGCGAATAGCATCAGCATCAAAGACGCGGCAGAACAATACCTCGGGCCACTTCTTGTCTGGCGCGTGGAAGGGGGGGGACTTCAGTCACATCACGGTATACCGTAAGGTTGCGAGTCAGCGCACAGGGGTGCGATCTATTTTCTAAGCGTAAGTTCTCCAAAAACAGGAGGCTGCGAGCGCCAACCGATACTTCTCAGGAAAGCTCTCGATGAGATATTTCCAAAACCGTCCCTTTCGACAGTGGTAACCTCCTGGTTGTGGAGAAATTACGCTTTGAAAATCAATCGCACCCCTGGGCGCTGACTCGCAACCTTACGGTATGTTCGCGAGATGAGGGAGGGGAGGTTTCTCATCCTAGTAGCACTTTAATATTTGCCGGTTGACGTCCTTCCCGCTGCCTTGGTCCTGGCTTCCAAGCAGTGCTTCCACACTTAGCGGCGCAACGGCGATACATGGTGGCAGCCAACGAACACAAGAGTGATGAAAACAGGCAAGTCGGTGCGTGTCGCGACTAACTCACAACGGATTTCGGCAGGAGGATAGGCAGGATTTCGGTCTTGATGGCCTGCACGACCTTGTCGAACGCCCTGCCGTAGTGCCGCTGCAACTCGAACCCGACCACCTGGGGGGGGGGGGGCAGAAGACAAAAACTTTTCCAAGTCACGACGACGAGAACGCACCACTTTCACGTGCTCAGGCGCGCGCGCTAAGTCTCGACGGCATGCACGGGATCCTGATAAACAACGCGTGACGCAGTGGTCGAAAGGGAGATGACGGGGCCGAGAGGCACTAACAGAAATTCACGAAAAAAAAAAACTGCAAACAGATTGGTTTCATGGGCCAGCCGGTTAGCGCGATCGATGCTAATCAAGGAAACAGACACACACCATCCTCTTCTCCGGATGCACGGCCCACCTTCAGGAACCACTCCAGGACTGGGCCGGCCGGTACCGGCGGCGGGTTCCCCTTCTTGACGTACCCCGCCATCCCGTTCACGAAGCGAGCCAGCCAACACCAGCCCTGCCACAGAGGCAAGGGGTGCTTCGTAGTCGCCCCACCGTGCGCCGGCGTCTTGACGAGGAGGAGGGTAGGGTGGAGTTTCATACCAGGTATAGAGCTTGGCTGGACGTCTCGGGATGAGGCACGATTGCTACCCGACTAACGCGCTTCGGGAAAACGATAGACAGGGAGGGCCCTCTCCCTTGAGACACGCCGTCCGTCAGAAGGCCGTTGACTTTGCGCCTTGATGGGCTCACAGGCGTGAGGGAATACGAGTACCACGCTTGTGCGCCCGCGGTTGCCCCCAACCGCGACAAGCGTAAGATCGATCGTCCCACAACGGCCTCTTAGGCCGAACGCCGGCAGATACGTCAAGGTAGGTTCACAAAAAAAACAAGTCGACCACCAAAAAACAATCAAACCTAACAATTTGGTTCGAGAGAGATGAGTGAGAGAGCAAAAAACGCTGAACAGCCTCCTCTTCTGGCTGCGCCCACCCCGCAACACAAACTTCGTAGCTCGACTGTCTTTACCCCCGCAGGAACTTGTTTCGCACAAGCTCGTCTCCTGCTATCGCTATTATTGCCCTCCACACCTCTTCCTAGGATACCCCTCGCAAGACGCGTCACTTGTTTCACCTGCATGACGGCGGCCATGAGCACCACCAGCCCCTTGGTGCGGTTCAGAAACGTGGGAAGGTCCTCGTCCCGCGTCTGCCCCAACAGCGCCATCACCTCGCGATCGGACAAGCCAGCGGTGTCGAAGGATAGAGCGGGCACGGCCGACGGGCACCTCCTGAGAAAAAATAGCGAAAAAATGAAGCAACAACAACAAAGGGTGTGTTGAATGGTGTGCTCCCGGTGGTCTCGCTAAAATATAACAAGAGAACTACAGCAGTATTAGTAGCATTGATCTTTGTTCTGTGATGTTTTTGGGACAGCCCTGTTCGATTATGCCAATGCAAACATTTGTGAGTGCAGAATCAAGGAGACAAGGGCCGACAAGCGTCCCCTAGAGCAGTACTTGCGTCTTCGACAAACGCCAACTTGGTTAACGACCCCCCCCGGTGCCCCGTAATGGTGGTCGAGTAGATTATGTTGTGCGGGGTCGAGAACCCTCAATCCGCGCAAAGGGGATGATCGCACCACTTTGTGTTAAAACGGTCACCCACCCTCGAGGCAGTTACACAGTGCTTACAACTGTCTCCGGAAGTGAAAGCACCAGAAAATAAATCAAGTCATACGCAGCTGTCATCCGTACGCAAGAAGTAAGCACAAGAAGCCGAAAACCCTTAGCAGGATGCAGCGCACCCTTCATGCGACTCGCCGAATACCTCACGGTGCTTCGTGCTTGGTGATGTGAGAACCTGGTCCGGTGAGAACCCGGCGTGGTCCGTCCCGGCTTTGTAGGGATGCGAGGCCAATGGTCTAACGACTACGGCATGCGCGACTCTGAGTACCCCCCCCCCCGGTGCCCCGCAGACAACTCAAGCATCAACTCCTGCAAGTCATTGCAAAACGGCGGCAAAAAAAAACATGCTAGTCCTGCTACCTAGAGCATACACCGCTTACAAGTACAGAGTGCCCAGGAAGAGCTCCGATAGTCCCGCATGCTCCTCCATCAGGTCCACCGCCACACAGGCCAGCGGAAAAGCCATCCGGTACGAGTCCCCGCTGAAGTGATCGCGCTCCGAATAGTCCACCAGCTTGAACCATCGAAACCGAGAAGACACGATAGGACCCACGATCAGCCCGGTGTGCAACGAGAATAACGCGGCGACAACACTTAGGCTGTCTTGTATCTCTGTACTGGAACGAGGAATACTACTCCATGCTGCTGGACACATGCGGAGGGGTTTGGGTTGCTGGTTGCTGGTGTATGAACATGGTCCACGAGAGAGGGACGAGAGTCGGGTAGGGTAAGGAAATGGCTCATCTAAGACACTGAAAATATGAAAATATGTAACACGCAAAATGGATCGTTGTCGTCCCTCTTTGCTTTGCCTGCGGTGGAAAACACAACATAATAAAGCGACAAGGTCGACAACGAAGCGCATCAATACAGAAAAAAAAAAAAAACACACACACACACACACAGTCGTTGGAGCTGGTCCGAGAAAACTGAGGGAAGGGTATATTTATGCAGCAAGAGGCACAACGCCATACAACTGATTTACAGTTGAGGCGAGCAAAACAAAACGAGACCCTCTCCGGCAGATTGACACGCGGCCTGTGACTTGAGTGCCGACCAACCTGTCCCACCAACTTCTCATCATCGACTCAAACTGGCCAGTTGCAACAAACACGGACTGCCTATCCCGGCGCGCGGGTCTACCCAACACATCAAATCGTCTCCAAGGACACACCCCCCCGACAACAAAGCAATCTACGACCCCCCCCCCACCTAACCCCGCTCACCTTGTCGGCGAGGTTAAAGAATAGAAACTCCTTTGCCTTTGCCTCCCAGCCCGCCCTCCTCGCGTCCGCCAGCGGCGCTTCCGCCTTGACCTGGATGTCCCGTGCCACCTGCCTGACCGTCGAAGGCGTCGCCGAGAGCTACATATGTCGTCCCGTTACGTACGTACGTACGTACGCGTATCACCAGCGTTGGGGAGGGGCACAGGGTGCACCAAAAGACGACGGGCCGGAGGGACATGAAACGCAACACAACACACACGTGAACTTCCACAAGGTGGTGGTGGTGCTAGGCTAACAACGACAACAGGGGATACGGAACGCCAAGCGGACGACAGCACTCTCACTGGTGCTGCCGCCGCTGCCGGTACTACTGCGACAATCGTCGCTGTAAAATCGACTTCGTGCCGTCCAGAGCACGCAAGCGCACCACCTATGACTGTGGCTAGCACGATGGCGTTGCAATTAGTATCCATGTTGAGGATCTCATGTGGCGATACTACCCAACCAAACAAGGGGTCGGAACGAGGACGCAACCACATGCTAGGTCTACTCAGCACCACATACGGATCTGCGCAGATCTAAGGGGTTTCGTGTATCATGGCGGTATGTGTTGGTAGAAGGGAGATCCCCATTCTGCCGTGCGCGGGCCAGCGTGTCCTCTTCACTCGCTAATGACAAAGTCTGCCTCCACTACCCAACAAACAACAAACTAATGCTGCTCAACTCAAGTAGCAGCAGCCCACACACCTTGTTGAGGCAACCCTGGTACGACTTCTTGAAGGCCATCCTGATCTTTTTCACCCCTGGGTCAGAGCTTGCCAGGATCTTAGGCGAGCACCGTTCAGGACGAGAGAGAGAGACAGACAGAGATAGGAAGAGAGAGAGGCGGAGGGGGAGAGAAAGACAACGAGTTCAAGTGTCAGCTCAACAGAGATTGCTATCGAACCAAACCAAGGGCAAAGGTTCTCGAAATACTTCGAAGGCCTATCGGTTCGAGAACTGTTCGACTTGTCGTTCAGACTACCCTCCGAGTCACAGGCAGCCAAGCGCCTACCTCCCACTTCAGAAGTGCTCATGGCTACAGCTGTTTTCACACAGGGATTTCGATGCAACACAAACTGTCAGCTCGCGCATCTTTCACTAAGACCCACTTGTTGCGTTTCGTTTGCGACAAATACCCATTCGGTTCTCGATGTCGCGATGCAGCAGGGCGCAGGGTTTGGTTTCAAACCAGATCATGGTACATGCTGCCTCCAGAGAGCAACGTCCCGCCTCGCTCGTTGTTTCTCCGGAATACGCAAGGAGCAGTACCAACGCCGCCGTTTCGCCGCCGTATTTCGTGTATCATATACCAATGAATACCCCCCCCTCGCGCTTGCCACCACGACCCCCCCGGTCGAACCGGTTCGCGCAGGAAACGCAAATATTTCATGACGATCAACCTCTAGGCATCGCAACAATGAGAGGGTTCGTTTTTACGTCTTTACCCTTCTATGGTATGCGATTCTTTACTCCCACACCCGAGTAAAAAAAGGACTCCCCTGTCCCTCTCTGGCCCTCGCGCCGGGTACTATCAGCGAAGAACTGTCGTGCTCCGTCCCGGCTTTTGCTGGGATGCAAGTAACGTGTACAGTAATAAATGGTACGGTTCTAGAGAGTAGACCCCCCCGCCCCCCGCCCAGCCCTCCGATACCGAGAATCGAATTTAGGAGCACCAGCAGCGGCTGAAAAAAACTTTCCTCACCTGATCTACAGCGGCCCGACGCCCCTGCACATTAGCTTTGAGCTCGCTTGCCTTCTCCGCGAACCTGGCCTTCTCCGCCACCAATGCTCCTGCCGCTGCCGCCTGCGCCGCCTCCGCAATCTCCTGCTCCTCGTCTTGCGCCTTTCTCAAGGCAGCGGCCGCCGCCTTAGCCTCCGCCGCCGCCTTTGCTTGATCGGCCGCGTCGGCTTGGGCCCGGGAGGCAGCCAACGCCGCCGCAGCCTGGTCCTTCTCCTGTTGAGCCTTCGCCGCTTTTGCCGCCGCCGCTGCCGCTGCCACCGCCTTTGCCCTATTAGCGCATAGCGGTCGGGGATAAGAACAACAGTGATGAGAACACGACGATGCCCAGCCAGCGGTGAGGAGATACGCATACAAAGTTACATCGTTGTAGACTCGGAAAGACAAGATAACGCGGTAGGTTTCCAGTCTAAATGGTCGGTAAGAGAAGAGTGGATAATTTGAGCGACATGCTACCGTTACCGCTTGGAGGGAAACAGACATACTCCAGGAGCAAGCTCGCCGACAACGGGTTTGCGTTACAAAGTTCATCATCGACCGTAGAGATCGTCAGATGAAAACGTAGTGTTTGAGGGAAGCAAAGCGCTTTGGTTTCAAGCCAAGAAGAAAACGAACTCGAGAGACGCAAATGTGGGCTAAGAGAAGGCGATAGTCCCAGCGCCAACCTACACCTTCACCGCCGACGGAACCGAGAGCACAAAGCAGCGCCAGACCAGCACCACCAACACCACCAACACGCGACAACAACAACACACCAACAAAGGATACAACACCCCACCTCGCATCCTCTGCGTCCTTATTCTTTGCCGTTTCCAGGGCTTCCGATGCCGACACCACCTCCGGCTGATTCTTGACGCCCTTCGCTGCCTCGCTGCTGAGCAAAGCCTCGAGCCCCGCCGAGTTTCCTAGGGCACAGTACAGACCAGCCAAACACATTCAGCGAAGAAAAAATTGAGTTCGATGACCGAAAAGGGAAAGGTCTAGGTGAATCGGCTCCCGCAGCCCCCTGCGTCTCCTGTACATCGGAAGCGGTTAACTACGGGGGCTGCCATCCCCCCTCACCGGCACCGTTGGCGTCCTTGACCTGCTTCAGGAAAGCCTCCAGCGCCGAGTACTTCTTTTGGAGACTTCTCACTTCTTTGTCGTCCTGCTCACCGAGACCGAGCACAGAAAGCACAGGGCAAGGAGGGGGCGGGGATTTCAGAAAAGCGTACAGAGTAATGGGGGGAAACACGAGAAAGTGCGGTTTATTCGATCGGTACACACCAACAGAGCGGTCGGTATCTTTCCGAACAAGCAAGGGAATCTCCCGTCCCAAAACATTCTTGGTAAAGCTTTTCTTCGCAACGTCAACCGAAACCGACGAAAATTGCTAGTAGGATTGCATTCCAGAGCAACTGATCATTTACCAATAATGGCTGATTCCCAACAACTGCTGACACGTTCCCTTTCCTTTGAAGCTTGACCCTTGTACTTACATGCTCCCATCAAATACTGCACAACCACGAACGTGTCTCGTCGGCAACTCATTCCTGAAAACCTACAGCACTAGATACCTCGACACGTCCGGCAGCAACAGCAACAACAACGCTAGGGAGAAAAAGAAGCTCAACGCTGCTATTCCTCTGCTGGTGTGTCACATCTTGCCTTGAATCGTGAGCTGGGGCTGTCCGCTCCTCCAGCAAACAGGCTTCTAAGCTTGGCCATGTCGGGACCCTCAGCTGCGTCGAAGGCGGTGTTCGCAGTGGCCACGAGGTCCGCGAGCGCCTCCTGCGCTTGTCCGAACGCCATCAGTGCCTCGGCCCGCCTGACAGAAGATAACGTTAGTGTGAGGGACGCGGATCGTAGATCAGCACGTCAAACGTCACCGAGTGACGAAAGGTCCAACAGAGAAGAACCAATGGGGGAGGCGGGAGTAGAACAAAACGAATCCGCCTAGACGTACGCATGCTCTGCATAGAAGCTCTAGGAGCCCTGGCGCCGACATCCGCACCTCATGGACGACGTCCACTGCCGTACGGAACTATGTTAGTCCTACCAAAAACACCACCAATAAAAACGGCGCCAAATCCGCTCTTCTGAGTAACTACCACGCGCAGACCTTGCTCGAGTTCTTCGAAGGTTACAAGTTCAAGTCTCTATTGTCTACCCTGCCTCGACAAGATCACCACAACAGCAACAACAGCCACGAAACAGCCAAAAGCATACTGTCGACATCAAAGTGAGCGGCTCCATGAAGCACGCACTCACAGGTTCTTAAGCCTCCGCATCCTCGCCATCGCCTTCTCTTCCGCCGCCTTCCCGTGCTCCTCCTCCGCTACGTTCACACGCCGCCACATCTCCAAACCCTCCTCCTCCCGCGCCGACAGCTCCCCCGTTGCTCCTTCCGAGCGATGCATTCATGTGGCAGAGGCGGGTAACAGGGGATGCCCAGAAGACACAAGAGGAGCGGGTAGTAAGGAAAGGAGGGTGGGTGATTGGGACAGAAAATACGTCGCCACCGCGCGAAGCAGGTGTGGGGAAGGTACAGCGGTCGCGATAACCTGCTTCCGTGTTACTGCTGTATTCGATCAGATGCCGAGACCAGGCGAGGTAACCCACGGAGACTGTAGTTGTTGTTCACTACTATCGGCGTCACGACAGGAGAAAACACACCGAAAACCGCACTGCTCCAAGCTCTTCAGCAATCAAGCCGCGCGCCAACCTTTAATCCTGCGCGGGACGCCCTCCTCCTTCCTCTCCTCCTCGCCACCGTCCTCGCTCCCGCCCTCATGAGGCGGGTGCGCCGAGTGAAATGCCTGGCGGATGATCGCGGCCTGCAGCTCGTGTGTCTTCCTCTTGAGCTTGGTGGCCGACCTCGCACGCTTGGCGGCGGCCCTAGTCCCCAGCAGCGCCTTGAAGAAGCCGGCGCGGAAGATGAGACGGGATGGCGTCGAAGATCGGCGGTGCTCCAGCTCCAGCTCCTCCTCGTCTGCGGCGACGGCGTTCGCGGGCACGCCGGCGGCGGAGGCGCAGTAGCTGACGGAGCGTTTCGCTGCCGCCGGCGAGACGAACGTGCTGTCGGCTGGGCACGTCCGCCGGAGGAAGCGGGAGGAGGCTTGGCGCCGCCGGTCCAAACCTTCCTCTCCGCCGTTGGCGGCGAGCTGTTCCTGCTGTTCCTCCTTTTCCTCGGCACGATGCCGTTTCGTGTTGCCCGAGTAGGTACCGGTGCGGTAGGCGGACTCCACTTCCTCCTCCCGAGTGCGCCGTCGGCGGCCGCCTCCGTCTGCCGCCGCTCCTAATCCTGCCGCCGCTCCTAGGGCGGCGGCGGGAGAGCCGAGGTCGGTGTGTGTTGACGGTCTGTCATCGCCTACTGTTGTGCCATTTGCGTACCGATCACTGTCACTGTGGTGCCGCACGTGCAGAATTTGCCCGTGAGATCTTCGCTGAGAGGCCGGGCGAGACGAGGATGAGGCCCACCCTGGCGGCGGGTTTGGGTCGGAGGTGCCCCAGGGGTGCGACAAGGAGAGCAGGCGAGGAGGCGAGGTATGCTCGCCTGCTCCATCGTCGTCGGCGTTCTCCTCGTCCTGGCCATCACGCCGAGGAGAATCTCGCCCAGCAGCGTCGAGTTCGAGAGCGGCAGGCACCCCCAGGGAGGAGCTGCTGCTGCTGCTGGCTCTGCGGCTTAGATTGTTGCCGTTTGGTCCATGTTGTTGCTCGGGACCTTCATCCTCTTGCTGCGCTGGGTTCCATAGATTGGCGAACTTTCTGCGGAGCTGATTCATCGATACCTACTGGTGCACAAAGTGCTGAACCTGATCCCCGCAGAGGATGCACAGCCGTGCCGCTGTGCACTGCTTCTTGTGCTACACGCAGCACGCGACTGACTTGCCTGTGTGTTACGTGGGCTCGCTGCGAGTGTCGCGGGGCTCCGCGAAATGAGAAATACCCCCTGTGGAGTATCTCAGCTGCGCTGCCTCACCGAGCTGTCGGCTTGCTGTCGGCACACAGGTCGGTCACCAAGGCCACCGTCGTTGTGTCGCGGTTCTTGGTTTTGCTCCGGGGTTGCTCGAGTCGCAACAACAAGTGACTGTAGTGCTCAGGGATTGCATCGAGCGTGAAGAGCCACATGGTCTTAGATCCTTTGCGATGGATGATTCAGAACAGCATGACGAGCATCGTCAACAGGAACAGCGCCAACATCAACCTCCGGCGCGGACTTGCAGGCTGCCGGACGATGTCGTTGAGCAAATCCTATGCCTGCTTCCCGTTGAGCAAATACTCCGCTGCGGGCGGACGTCCCGAGCGTTCTCGAGGGCATCGCTAGCCGCTCTACAAGGCGCTACCTGGGCACCTGATCCTGCTGTCGCTGTCGGCTCTGATGACGGTGCAGTGCGGTGCGGCACGCATGGTCACACCCACTGCTGTCGCATTGCGGGCGACAGCGGCATCCACACCGACAGCCTTGTCGTTGGGACGCCATGCCTCGACCTGCGGGCCGCCGCAGATGCAGTGGATTGTCGAGCCCTGTCGGCGATGCTGCGGAAAGGTTTCGGCGAACTGGAGGAGTCGAGCAGTGCTGGCGGTGGCGACGGCGCAGAGACTGACGATCACTCGGGTGCACCCGCGACCCGTGGGAGGAAGTGTGTCTTGAGGGGGCTAGCGGTGTGCAGCGCTGCGGTGCAGGACCAGGTACGATGTTGTTACAGCGGTGTTGGGCGCGTTGTTGGTGATGACCATGTAAGTGGTGTATCCTCAAGGTGTATCCTCAAGCAGCTTCTGCCCGGCGGAGGAATCCGATTGTTCAAATGTGAACCAATGTGAACCGTGGGAAACACCGAGTTGATCGTAACGTCCCACATAAAAATCTGGAGCTCTCACAGGCCAAGTCTTAGGCCGAGTCTTACGTCGTAATTGTTTTGGAGATTTGTTTTTGCTCTCGGTCGAGGAGGGGTGGTCTGCAAGGGAAAAATTATCTGGATCCAAACGACCTTCTTACGGTTCCTCGAAACAGATATTTTTCTCAGGGGAAAAAAAGGGCCGATTCAGGTCGTTGTGGGTCACAACATGCTTCAGTTCACGGTTTTGGCTCGTGTGCGACCAACAAGACACCGAGGGCCCTGTTTTTGGGTCGCCTCCAGAGGGCATGTATATAATCGCACGCCAGTGACTGCAGTTTGTGGATGTCGTCGGCCAAAGGCCTCTCTCTGGCCTGCGTTGTGGACTGATCACGCTCGGAGCAACCAGAAAAAAAAGGCAACGTTCAAAAAAGTCAACATCGCAACACACTTCGGTTCACGTTTTCAGGCCGTGTGCAATCAAAACTGGACAATACGCTCTGCTTCTGGGACGCGAGCAGAGCGATTGTGTATGATCACACGCCATTAGCAGTAGTTTGTGGATGTCATCGGCCGAAAGCCTCCCTCTGGCATGCGTTGTGGACTGGTAGCGGGTGACACACGGAGCAAACACGCGTCGGAAAAAGAAAAAAGTCCAAAAAGTCAACAACGCAACACACTCGGTTCACGTTTACAGGCCGTGTGCAATCAAAACTGGACAATACGATCTGTTTCTGGGACGCGAGCAGAGGGTACGTATATGATCACACGCAACTGGCTGCAGTTTGTGGATGTCGACGGCGTAAAGCCTCCCTCTGGCGTGGGTTTTGACTGGTCACACATGCAGCAGGCACAAAAACGGCTCTTTCGGCCTAAAGGCAAGAACGTCAGCAGAGCAATGTGGCAGGGTTGACGTTATCGGCTCGTGTGCTGCCAACACGACGCAGAACGCCCTGAACTTTTAATACCTGCAGAGGGTTTGTGCATGACCTCATGATACTGGCGTCTGTTTGGCCGGCAGACGGTGTAGTTTCTCGTTCTGGCACGATCGGGGTGTGACCAGGGGGTGACCCCCCGCAATTCCAAACTGGAAATTATCAGCCGATCCTGTTTGGAAAATGGGCCTATTTTCCAACGCGGCAGCTGGGATCCTAGGAAATATTCGGCGATTTGGAATTTGGGCTTTTGGAAATTGGCCAAATTCCTCCACGTAAGACGCTCAACTCTTTATTTGGGCTGAGAAAAGGACCCTCCCTCAAAAAACAAAAATCCCGAAATAACCACGAGGTAAGACTCGGCCTCAAACAAACAAGTCAGCCATCTGCCATGTCTCTTCACGCTGTAGTCTTTGAGTCCCGGGACGAAACCTGTACTTCCGCGCTTATACACGCTGCTCGTCGTCTCAGGCAATAGCTCGGGCTCTCGAGCTGCACGGGGAAGGCCTCCAAGTCCTTGACCTCGCCGGCTGCCGCGGCTTGGACGCGTCATTGACGATGGAGGCGGTGCGATCGCGGTGCAAACGCCTCGTCGCCTTAGACCTGTCCGGAGGGAGGTCTTTCGAGGGCAGGGGGCGGGGAGAGATGGGATGCGCCCCTTCCGTGGCGGTGCCGAGGTGTGCGGTCGGCGGGACGTCATTCGAGCGGGAAGTTGGATTGGGTCTCAGCCGGCGTCACCCGAGTTGCAGCCCATCGGTGGCCAGTCTTTCGATTCCGGTGAGTCCAGCGCGCGAGTTCTATTTATCGGTGAATAGAATAGTAGCGGAATCAAGAGAGGGAGAGAGAGAGACAGACAGAGAGAGAAGAGAAAAAGAGAGGGAGAGCACAAAACGTCTTGACTCTCTTGAGCTGAGGATTCAAACGAGACGTACCTGGCCGCTCTGTTGGCCCCCCTTGTACGACAGCACACCGACCCATTCGCACAGAGCGTAGTACGGCGGGTTGGGGCTAATGCTTTGCTCTGCCCCTCCCTCGCCGCTGTGGCGATGCTACGTACCTTTTCAATGAGACACGCGCGTGTTGGCGAACTGCTCCCGCCGAAAACGAGCAGTCTATGCGTGCATAAACACTAACAATGACAGCAACGTCCTTTGCTGCTGTCAGGACAACACCCACCACCGACTGCATGACTACCATCTGGTTTCGCTGCTGACCGGGCTTGGCGGCAGACTTTTGTCCCTGCAGCTACGGGATCGGCCGTTCATAACCGACGAAGGAATCGGGGCCATCGCAGTCGCTTGCACGCAGCTGCAGGAGTTGGACATCGGGTGAGCAACCGAGCGTTGACAGAACAATCGGCCGGGCTATATCGGTATTGGAGAACACACCCCCAAGGGGGGTCAGAATGGCTGTTTGCTTCGATACTAGGGGGAAAGGTTGCCCCCCCCCCCCCCCCCCAGTGGGGGGGGCGGCCAGTATGCGTGGGATGGGTGCGGCGGTTTGATAGGCAGAGCGAATAGAGGGCAATGACGACATCCGTACGAAAGAAGGGTAAGTGTTGGAACCGACGTGGGTCCACACTAATCACTACTGTTCGTCCATTGCGTAGATAATCGTATGTTCTTAGTGGTGTTGTTTCGGATATGCAGTCGGTCGATGCACCCACCCCTGAAACAGCGACAGACAACGATGCGTACACATTGCTGCAGGCCAAGAGCGACCAACGTCATCGTACGTACGAAGCGTCGGGGCGATTCTTGAAACCAATTGTCTTCTGCTAGCAGTTGCTAGCAAGCATACAAGCGAGGGAAGCAAGAAGTGCACGTCCACACGGCAGCACCAGCAGCACCAAGTACAGCAGCTGGTTACTCCCCTCGCGTACATGCTGCTAGCAGAAGCCATTTAGTTTCAAGAATCGTTTCCGACGCCTCGTACGTACGATGCGTTTGGTCGCGCTTGATATACAGCATGTGTACGCGTCGTCAATAGTTTGTCTCTGTTTCGGGAGTGGGTGCATCAACCGAATGTATCCGAAACAATACAACTACGAAACACGTTCATGACTGCGGGTGCCTGTGCTAAGACTTGTCTGCAGCAGCAGCGTTTAACTTGGCCCGGTGGCGTCGCATTGAAGTGCCCTTCGTCCGGTTGTAGGAGGAATTCCATGAAGATACTCTAGTTCTCGGTCGATTCACGACCCACCAAAAACGAATTTGAGCAACCATATGTATATGTATGTTTTCCCATATGTACAAAAACTTCGAAATATATGACGACACGACCGCAATCCTGTGAGTTTATATATAACATGATAAGCATCGTAAATTCTGCGGGAAAACGTGCAGAGACGCATCGCGCCTCTCACACGCCGGTGAAAAAGGGAGTTGAACATGCCGCTATGTATCCAGGGTTGACTCTATGTTGACAAGGTCACCCCATCACGTGGACTAAGCTGAGTCTTTGGTACGATTGTTGGTGAGATTGTTGCCGACGTTTCCAGGAACGCCGACATGCGCTTGAGTGACGTTAAAATGCTGGGACGTATTGTGCCGATCTTTCATCTTCCCCCGCTCGCCTCCGTCGACGTCTCGTCGTCGTCAGCCGGCGGACTGGCGACACAGGAAACAGAATGATGCGGACCGGTAGTATCACCGGCCAGGCTCTGGCGACTCTTTCTGCTGCGCCGTGCGCGCCGCTGCTGGTGTGCCTCGGGCTTCGAAATCGGCACTGCGTCGGGAACATGGACCTGCGAGCCCTGGGCACCCACTTCCCTAGCTTGAGGAGGCTTGACCTGGCAGGGCTTGTCAAGGTGGACGACGACGTTCTCAGGGCTCTCGCGTCGACTCTGTCCCTCACGCACATAGATATATCCAGGTAAACGCACTGCACAAGTTCCCACTCATTGAAATCACCCATCCCTTCACGCACACGCTCGGAGGTTTCACGGCAACATCAGGGATGTGCTTGATCGGCATCACCCCGAGTCGCGATGTCCACGGCATGCGCATGTGAGAATTTTAAGCGTGTGGCATTCGGCCCTTCGTCCTCCCTTCACCGCACGGCATCCGCGTGACCCCTTACTGTGCCCACAGACCGCCAACCCTCGCCTACCCACTCACGGTGCCCCCCAACCCGGACTCGTGCGGCACAGAGCACACCGCGTTTCTGTAAGCGGAGTGTCAGCGCTGGCCGTAGGGAGCCCGGAGCTGGCGTGCATCTCACTGCATGGAACTGCTCTGGCGGACGGGGCCGTTCGAGCTCTGTGCGACGCCTGCCCCAGGCTCCGACACATCAACTTGTCCTTAACGCGCGTGACGGAGCGGTCCCTCCGCCTTCTTGCCATGAAGGATAGCTTGAGGTGTGTTTTTGTTGAACCGGCATTGACGGTGCCGTTCGGCTGAGTACGTGAACAGGCGCACGGCTTAGTTTTTTTTTTTCTTTTGTAAGCCATGTGTTTTGTCACCCTGTACTCGGGAGGTGTCCTGTCGGCAGGATGCCGTTAGATCTACCCACACAAAGTGCTTTGGGATGAGCGCGTGTTTGCCTGCTTGGACATGATTTTGCCCGTCTTTGGCCTAGGATACTTAACACTCTATCCCTCTTGTTCGCTCCCACCCCCGTTTGAATCGAAGACGCGTCGCTGATCCCCTACCTTCTTGGCTGCCCCAACACGCCACGTTGCCACCGCTCGCTCAGATGGGTCAATGTCCGTTGCTGCAGCGGCATTGGTAACGACGCCGTTACTGCCAAGATCTTGGCGAACTTCCGGAGTCGCTTGTCGCCACCCAAGCACCCGAGAGACCGTGGAACGGTCCTAGGAATGGAGCGCCCTGAGCCTCAGTCGAGGACGCGCGCACCAAGCTGCTCCCGCCGCAAACCTCTCGGTGCCAACAGCTCCGGCAGAAGCGAAGACAGCAGCGGCTGCGGCGGCTACCAAGGTCGGCCGGGCGATGTTGGGCAGAATCTGGCTATTCACGCGCAGGCGGCGCTTGCCCTCAGGCCGTCGTCACCCAGTAGTAAACGGTTACATCAATTTGCGCCAGGAAACGGCGGCGGTGGTGGCGTCACGAAAAACGCCTCCTATGATACTGAAAATTGTGACGGTAGCATCGTTCGTGGTGACACCCCGATACACGCGAATAGTAACGCCGGTAGGGCGACGACGGGTGGACTGGCGCCGCCCTCTGCCGAAGGAGGTTGTACCCGGCGTCTTGGCACACCAAGGGCAGCGCAAGGGAGTTTCGACGAGGGGGAGGAGATTGCGCCGCGGCCGTCGTGCAGGGGACCCGGCGGCAGCAGAGCTTCACCGGCGAAGCCTGCTCCTGCTGAGAGGCTTGCTGGAGATTCGAGCCAGGGGACGACGTCATCACCCGTGGTTCCGTTGCTGTTGGCGTCGACTTCGCCCGCGCCGGCGGACCTCGAAATAGGGGAGCGCGGCAAGGGCCGGCGAGAGGCGGCGATTCGACAAGAAGGGAACGGGCACGAGCTTGTAGCGGAAGAAGCTTCAGCAATACAGGCGACAGCAGCCGAAGAAGAAGCAGTACCGTCGCTCGCTGGCGAACCAGCCGGTGCATCGTCCCGCGACCATCCGCCGCGGCCGCCGCCGCCGCCGCCGTTGCTCCCGGCGGGTGTCGGCGACCTCTCACTAGGCCGGCACCGTCGCCGTGGCGGAAGCGGTAGTTCGTCTATGAGGGAGGGAACAAAGGGAGGCGGGGGGTCAGGTGGCACGGGATCTCAGGACGGAGGGCGCGGCTTTGCGAAGGGTCGAGGTGGTGGTGGAGAACGCAGAGTCGAGGTGCGAATCGGTGGGGTCGTCGGTTCTTTTTTTGGTGTGTCTCCAGTGCTGTTGTAGGTTTGCTCTTCTCGCCGATTGTTAACCGCACTCCTCGAAACGGTTAGTCAGATTTTTCCCGCGCTGGTTGTGAGATGTTTTCCGGGAGCTCCACCTAGAGTGTCTGCCCCCTTGCTTGCTAGGGACTGGGGGGCCAGTGTGTATCTCACTCTCTTTTGAGAATTTGAGGGGGATGTTTGAACACCGACCCGCTGGAGGTGATGACACTGGTGACATCTCACACTACCCAGCAACAAGACTAGTCTCTAAGATTCTGGCACGAAATCCCGGAGAGCCGTCGTCTAGCGAAGAATCTTGGTCTTTTTTCAAGGCTCTTATCAAATTCATATTCCAAAGATCTGGCCGACCAGTGTTACGCGGATGACTTTCCGAAAAAAAAATTTTCTTAGTTGCCGTTTCATGTTGTGGGCACTCCCAACAAACCCGTCGGTCCGTCGCTATCTATCATGTTGGTTTGGTCATCAGAGCTGAGCACGCAGGCTCGGCACAATCGCCAGCAGAGCTCTCGAACGTAGGGGAGTGGTGGTCTTGGTAGCAACAACAGCTCTCGGAGTGACACCGGTGCGCGTGGTCAGTGGTCTCAACACCACCCTCCCCGACACATGACTCCCCCTCCCTGCCTCGCTTTGAAGAGGATACGTGCTCTATATTCGCAACATACTCAAGCTGGCCTACGAACGATTCCGTCCCCCCCCCCCTTTAGCAGGAAGAAGCGGTAGTGCCGTTCGACTGGGACACCGTCCCCCGAGGCAGCGGGGTGGGAGTTCTCGGGTCTTGGAAGGGATTCCGCGGCCTATCGGGGGACCTGGTGAAGAACATCATTCGAGAGCTGCACCCCCACGCTCAGGTCGAGTTCCGCCCCGAGTCCGACTTCCTCTTTGGGCCCCACTCGCGCAAGAATACCCACGGCTACCTGGTGAGGTCCTGTCTACGGCTGCTGCGAGACTTGGTGTTGTATGTAGATGTAAAGGGGTGCTTGCGGTTGCGGGTGGTGCCGTTGGTTCTCACGTTTCATGGCCGAGGCGTCCGCCGACCAACTCGTGCGTAGCCCCGCGACAATGGCGCAGGTCGCAAAAACGAAAGCTGCCCTGTGTGTAATCTAGTTGATTTTTGTCCTAGGCTTCCGTGCGAGATTGCCTTACCGGCCTTAAGTTGGGATGGCGTTTACTCGAGTAAAGGTGGCTCGAATGCTGGGCGTTGAGAGTCTCGCTAGATGGCCAGACCGACCTTCAGTTTGACGACGGCACAACAACTGGCGAGAGATGTGGGGAGATTCTGCGCGTCGTCTGAGAGAGAACCAGGTTCCATGACGACGTGTTGGCGAGAGAGGGCAAAACTAGGATGCACACAAGCGGAATGGCCTCGCGGTGTACGTACAAAACGCCCTATTGCATGAACTCGAGTACACTTGCAAGATTAGGGATCAGCAAGATTGGCCCTTCTCGGACTTTGGGCCGGTTGACCACGACTATTAGCACGCCGTAACAACGAAGGGCGTACAAACCTCGGGTACTGGCTATTCCGCTTTTAGGCGGGGTGCGACTATGAGTGTTTAATGCCTCGAGAGGTTCAATATGCCGCTTACCGTTTTTTCTCATATTTCGTCGCTCCCTTGCCTGCCCCGTTTCCCCCGCCGCCGGACCGTACCTCGCGGCACGGTACGCTGTCAAACGCCGCAATTTCCGTCGAACACAGGTCCACACGAGCAAGTTCGGGCAGGCGTGGGTGGAGTTCGAAGTGGATGGCCAAGGATGTGTTACTTGAGGTGCACAAACGTCTGGTCTTGAACGAACCAAGTCGGTGGGACAGCGGAGGGATGGAGGGGCATCGGGTACGGAGTTGTTTTTTGCTAGCAATTTTTGGTGTTGGTGCTGCTTCAAGTGGTGGTGGTGGTGGCGGTGTCGTCGTCGTTGCCCGGGGATGCCCGTCAGTGTACCAGTGTATCTCCGTCTGGTATTGTGCGCAAATGCACCGTTCGGACGAACTTAGACAGGAAACATGCTTTCTTTCTCGGGAGCGAGAAGGGGGGAGGGCGGGGGGTGATCCTGGCTTGCTTGACTGGGCACTGCCATCATCGTAGGGTATCTCTTGGTGCGTAGAATGCTAAACACGACGCTCGTCAACCGAATCTATCCAGTGCGGAATATCGTGAACATGCATGCATGCATGTGTGAATACGAGCAGCGTGTGTGACGAAATGTTGACGCCTTCCAAGTAATGTTGTCTTACCTCACGCCTTCACCTGTACGACGCTACAAGGTTGCCCTCCGGAGTGGGCTCGTAAAAGCACAGTGTGATTTTTTTGCAAGATGAGGAAGGGAGCTCGAAAAAGTGACCGCCAGGGGTGACGTTTTTCCAAACTCAAACAGCCCACACAGCTGACGTTGTCCGCCTCGAAGATCGAAGAGCCCAGCGAACCACTCCGCATCTCAACAAGAACAACGAACAAATAATCAAGTCTTGCTGTGTAATTTTTTTCCTATTATGACAACGAACAAATCGAATGTTCGGGGTAAATCACCGTGGGCCAGAGTCTACGATGTACTCGGTTTGCATCCAACAAATGAGTAGTGTGACAGATGCATTCCACCTACCGTATGGCACCGCACAAGGCCACCGGTACACAAGAGTATGTTTTTTTTTTTTTTCTGTCCGGCTAAAGTAGCAGTTGGTCCTAATAATGCAGTACCTCGACCGTCTTCAGTTCGTGTCTTCAGTTCGTGGTGAAGATCACCTGTAGCCTCGACGGCCGGTACGCGACGCTATTCATGCGCCGTCGATCGCACAATAACAAGATGTGCAAGAGCATGTCACAGCGAGACGTTCAGCCTTCGAGAGCGTGAAAGAGGTTTTGCGCTCCCTGTGAAAAGGGAAGCGGCCAAGGTTGATGTCAATAGAAGAGCAGAGAGCAGTCATATATAACAGCTCGATCTACCTCCGCAATGTGCATCAGACAGATAGATCCGGTTGATCTTGTCAATAGCGGTTCTCTCGTTGCCTCTGCTGAAGGGCATTCCTTTCCAGAACTAGGGCATTTTCGTTTTTTTCAAAATGGTGGTGGGGAAAACCCACCGGGTGTTTTTTTTTTTTACAACTTCGAATATTCGAAGCCACGTTTTTTTTTTTTACTTTTTATATTATTATTTCACAGGGTGCAGAAACGACAAGAGATCTGCAGCCCAGAACACACTCCCTGCTTTCTTTCTACCATTCTCCACTACTTGGTGGCGCATCCATCATCCACAACAAGCCAGCCACGCAGAGCCGCTGCTTTGCTAGACCCTGCTACTGCTACGGTCTACACCGTGAGCTCAAAATATCGCGCTCAATTTGCATACCAGAACGGTCGATAGATACGTTCCACCAACTCTCAGAACAAGCACTCGGAAACCCTGCTGCCTGAACCAGCACCACATGGATCAAGCCCACAGACCCTTCAAGCTTCACATGTCCCGTTGCCTGCTTGCAACAAGACGCTATCATGCAGGACGCCTCTCACACGAAACCGCCCAGGCGGCAACCAGCTACCTTCACACTTGCCAAATCCAAACGAACATAGACAGTCATACAAACAAAACCAAAAGAAAGCTGCAGAAGCGCAGAAGCCTTGTCAAAGAACGCACGACGTCCCGTCAAACTGGGTCCGGTCTTGTGGTACGTCCTTGATCCCTCGTATCAGTTTTCCCGTGGGAGGCCTCTGCCCAATTGCAAAAACTACAACCCATCAAGCATGCCTCGCAAGGCTCGAAGAGTGCTCTCGATCGCTCTACATCGTCACAATTCGCTAAGCGGCTGCCCTGTCGCAACCTTCTACCTCAGGGCAACAAACCGACGAATCAGCAACCTGTGGATTAATCTCAACACGTTTTCAACAGGGCTGCATCGGCATCACCGGCGGTGGCGGCGGTGGCTGGTGGTGCTCCTGAGCGTTGTCGTTGCCGTCGGGGTTGTCTTCGTGGAACCGCCCGCGGGGGGGTGATCCGGGGGGCGGCCCGGCCGGCCAGTGAGTAGCCATGAAGTCGTCTCCGTCGCTGTCCAGATGGCTCTTGTCGTGGTGTCCGCTATGCCCGTCTCTTCCTCCGTCACCACGAGGGTGGCCGTGGGGAGGAGGGTGAGCGCGAGGGACCATGCACATTTCCGTCCCGTCTTCTTCGTCGCTCCCGTTGCTTTCGACATCGTCGCGGTGGTGGTGGTGGCCGGGTCCGTGGTTAAGGTGCATCTCGCGGTCGTGCATGGGCATGCCGTGGAGAGGAGGACCGCCTAGTTGCCCGCGTAGGTGCGGGGGCGGTGGCATTGCGTGGGGAGGGCCACGTGGCCCGGCATGCATCGCCATTTCTTCCTCTTCTCCTTCGTTCTCGCCGCCGGGGTGGTGGTGGTGGCCGGGTCCGTTGTGACGGTGCGTTTCGCCGTCGTGCATGGGCATACCGTGGGGACGAGGACCTCCGTGCTGTCCGCGTAGGTGAGGGGGGGGGGGCATTCCGTGGGGAGGGCCACGTGGCCCGGCATGCATCATCGCCATTTCATCCTCTTCTCCTTCGCTCTCGCTGCCGCCGTGGTGGTGGTGGTGGCCGGGTCCGTGGTGGAGGTGTCGGCCGCTTTCTTGGAACGGTCCGTGGGGCGGTCCGTGGACAGGGCCTGACGAGCGGCGGTGATCACGGTGGGCAGGACGCTTTCCGTGGCCGTGGACGTGGCGGTGCGGCGGAGGGCCATGAGGAGGCGGGCCGTGACGAGGCCTACCCATACCTCTGCCGCCGCGGTGGTGGTGGTGGCCACGACCTCCAGGGCCTCCAGGGTGACCATGCCGCAAGTGAGAAGGAGGACCACCCCGCCTGCCTCCAGGCCAGGACCGCCGAAGCTCTTCCCGTTGAACGAGCCCGAGCTTGACTAGGCGGTGAGGTCCTACGCCAAGGGCACGGAGCAACGGCCTGGTTTCACGCGGGAGGAGTGTGATGCCTGCGGCAACCAAGGCCGCATGGACGGGGTGCTTGCTTGTTTTGGTCTCGAAGCCGAGGCAGTCGTGCTTGCGGATGTTGTCGTTCTCGGTGTCGCCGCTGTCGCTGCTGTTGCTGTTCGAGTCGTCCGAGACCTGGTTGTCGTCCGCTTGCTCTGGCTCGACTTCGGATCCGCTGCTGCCGCTGCTGTCGGTGGTGTCCGCGTCAGCCTCAGCTGCTGAATTGCCCTTCAGGAGCTTCTTTGGGGCAAGTCCTTGCACCACGAGGCGGCCGGGGCGGAGGCGAAGCAGGACCATGGTCTTCTCCAGGTTGTCTGCTGTCATGGAGGGGACGCCGTGGTACTCGCGAAGATTGCGGGCTGTCGCCTTGAACAGAGTGCTGTTGTTGCTGCTGTCCATCGTTTCGGTGTTTGTCGCGTTGTGGGTGGTGGTGTTGATGCTGGCCATGTTGTAAGTGGGAGGAGGTGGCAGGTGGGAGGGGGGGGTGAGCCGGCGAGGTGCGGCGTAATTTCTTCTAGAGGGTCGTCGTTCTGGAGATTCTTCGAGGAACCTGAGAACCGTTCTTCAGGATATTCGAAATTCGAACATCTTCGAATTTCGAGGCGGATCCGTACGCGGACGAGGCGGTCTCGTACGCGGACGCCGAGGGAGGTCTCGTCAGTGGCGACGATGCTTATTTTCGTCTCAGGTTATAACTCAAATGGTTGGATTCTCGACTAGGGAGGCCGGGGATGGTCCGTGCTTTGCACGCCTCCTCATTTTGTCCTTTTCAACGCTCGGTTGTGAAAGCACCATTTTCGTCATTACTTTCGTGTTTCTCGGGAGGGTAGACCAATTGGGTAGACTATAAGCTATTTCTCTTCAGAGGAAGTAACACAGCGAATCGATCTCTATCCACAGATAGATGAGTACAGGTAAAATAAGCAATGAATCCATGGCGTTAGCGACGCACTATCAGCCTTTCCACAGTTAGTTCCCCGAGCAGCACACAGCGATTCTTCCCCTGTGGGTAGCAGGCTCTGCCAAGACAGTTTGGTGTTATGCATACATTGTTTTTTTTCGACAGAGACAACGACGACACGACAGCAATGTTTCTGCTCTTTATGCATAATCTATGTATGCAATGTACAGACTACAGTTTATGTTCGAGGAACACACACAGCAGTGCGTACATGCGAATCTTAACGCAGTCTACATTGATGTCACGATGTGAAATAATTACACTACGCTTTGCTTACTATTGTGCGTATGTAGCTGCCGAGAAGCTGCTGAAACCCAATCAATACCCCGGTCGGGCAACAAAGTAACGCCATGCAAGCAAAACCAAAACAAGGAATATGTCGCCTATTATTCCAACCGCTTGGTGATACCGATGAAGTAATATCAATAGTGCCCAAATAACCTGTTAGTCCTGAAAACAAACACGGTTCACCGGCACATCCTTCTTCCCTTCGCTCGCCTGCATCCTCCCGAGGGATGGGGTATCACCAACGACGTGAAAGCTCCGACTTTTACTGCATCTCGGTGTCCGAGTACACGAGTCCCACAGGCAACGCTTAGTACATACAGGTCTACCACAACGTCACACAGAGATCAGGAGGACTGAGCAGCGCCAGCACCAGCACGAGCTAAACGCCTAAGTTTCCTTGAAATTTCCTTGCCCTCCATGGGCGCCATGCTGCCCCATTTGGTCCCCCAGCGTGGGTGCGCCACCAAGGGGACGGAAAGTGAGCACGCGCCTTCCATGCAAGCCTTGACGATGTGTGCCACCTCGGCCACGTGTGGTTCCAACACCTGGTGGTTTGGGTTTGAGGGGTTGGTTGTCGTTGAGACGCTGTTCTGTGGCCATTGGGTGATTGGTTGGCGTGAGATGACCGACAACGCTCGAAACTCTCCTCCGCGCTACGCATCAATCACGTTGTTGAGTGGAACGTGATCAATAATCCGTCAAGGAGGGGAGCGGTGACAATCAGCCTCCTTTCTACATATCGGGGGGGGGGGGGGGGGGGGGGGGGG